AGGGCCTCCTGGAAGCCCTACAAAACCTGGGATATCGGGTGCCCTGGAAGAAAGCTCAGCTCTGCCAGACCAAGGTAGCTTACTTGGGTTATATTCTTGAGAAGGGAAAAAGAAAGCTGGCAGAATAGAGGGTATCCGCAATTCACCAGATTCCAGAACCCAGGTCAAAGAAACAAGTGTGAGACTTCCTAGGGGCAATTGGATATTGCAGAATTTGGATTCCTGGCTTTGCTGAAATTGCTAAACCCCTGCACCAAGACACAGTTGGCGGGGGGAATACACCCCTGGGATGGACTGAGGCTTGCCAGCAGGCATTTCTGTTGCTTAAAACCACACTTGCACCGGCATCAGCCCTGCCTGGCCTTACCAGACTTGAATAAGCCCTTCACCTTGTTTGTGGCAGAGAAGAATGGGGTAGCCGAGGGAGTGGTGACTCAGTTTTGGGGGCCATGGAAGCCACCCGTGGTGTACCTATCAAAAAAACTTGACCCAGTGGCCCGAGGGTGGCCTACTCGTCTGAGGAAAGCGGCAGCAGCAGCTGTTTTAACCTGAGAGGCTGACAAATTGACCTTTGGCCAAGATTTGACTCTGATCCCTCCCCATGCCATTGAGCCCTTATTAAACAGCTCACCTTGCAAGTGGCTGTCTAATGCCAGACTGTTACAGTATCAAGGGCTCTTCCTGGAGCAGCCGCGCATCGGGTTGGCCACCACCACTAGCCTCGATCCAGCCTCAATCCGGCTGTGCTGCTCCCTGAGTCTGACTATCAGCTGCCCATCCACGACTGCCTCGAGACTCTTGAAAATCTGCGGGGAGGGCACCCAGATTTGACAGACCAGGCCCTCCCTCATGTAGAGGCGACATTCTACACTGATGGATGCAGTTTCATATGGGATGGCGTGTGGTATGCTGGGGCAGCGGTGGTCAGCCAAGACCAACAGGTGGTGGGGTGGGAGCAGGGATTACCCCGAGGAACATTAGCCCAGAGGGCTGAACTGATTAGTTTGACTAAAGCTTTAGAGTTGGGAAAAGGACAAAGGATAAATATATTCACTGACAGCCATTAGGCTTTTGCTACCACCCGTGTACACGGGGAGATTTATCAAAATAGAGGGCTGCTGACATCCAAAGGAAAATTAAGAACAAAACTGAAATATTGGCATTGCTGCAAGCCATTTGGATGCCTAGAAAGGTCACCATCACCCATTGCCGTGGGCATCGGAAAGGGGTCTAGCCCTGAGGTGACAGGAAATAATGCTGCTGATCAGGCAGCAAAACTAGCTGCCCCCAAATCAGTGGGGAAGCGGTTTTGCTACCCACACCAGTACTTCCAGAAAAATCTGAATACACAGATAAAGAGGTGGCAGAAATGAACAAGAGGTACCGGACCAAGGAAAGTATGGATGGTGGACAACTGATGATGGAAGGGTGGTTGTTCCTGCTGCTGTGGCTGACATGTTGCTGCGTGAGCTCCATGAATCCACCCATTTCGGCGAGAAAAAATGATGGCTGCCTTGCAACCCCATTTCCTCAGCAAAGGACTGGCCCAAAAAGCCCAGGATGTGGTGAGATGATGCCCCACCTGCCTCAAGGTAAATGCAAATCCGGTGACCGGGCCCCTGGGGTCGACACAGAGGACGAACTCCAGGAGAACTTTGGGAACTGGACTTCACCGAAATGAAGTCTGGCATGTATGGGTACAGATATTTTTAGTTTTTGTGGATACCTTTTCAGGAAGGGTAGAAGCATACCCCACTAAAAAGGAGACAGCTGAGGTAACAGTCAAAAAGCTTATGACTGAAATAGTTCCCCATTTTGGCCTACCCTTAGCTCTGGGGTCCGACAATGGTCCAGCCTTATGGCTAAGATATCTAAATTAGTCATATTCTCAGGATCAAATGGAACCCACACTGTTCCTGCAGGCCTCAAAGTTCAGGACAGGTAGAAAGAGCAAAGAGAACCTCAAAGGAGACTCTAACTAAATCATGCCTGGAGACTGAACTAGGTTGGGTAGAGCTTCTCCCTGTTGCACTCCTCCAAACCAGGCACGCTCCTAGGCTTCCCCTAAATCTGTCACCTTTTCAGACCATTATGGATGGTCTCCCCCTGTCATTCTGTTGGTAGATGTAGACTTGAAAGAAAAACTTTCCCATATCAACTCCTTAAATCCCTAAGAGCTGTCCATCAGCTCCAATCAGAGTTATATAATAAATTGAGGAAAACTATGCCTAGTCCAAATGAAAAACCTTTGCAATCTTTATCCTATAAGCTGGGAGATTTGGTTTATATCCGCAGGTTTGACTCCAAGACCCTAGAACCACATTGAAAAGGACCAGTTCCAGTTGTCCTGTCTACCCCCTTGGCAGTGAAGGTAGCTGGATATTCTGCCTGGATATATCGCAACCATCTGAAACCAGGACCCCTCACAGACGTCACAACGGATAAATGGAAGGTCATCAGCCAATCAGGTGACCAAAAGCTAAGACTGAAACAGGTTGGAGATGTCTCACATTCATGATGGTGCTCTCTGGGACATTGGCAATGCTGCCCCTGAGAGGACTGGATCACCCAAAAAAAGGTATGGAGTCAATTGGCAAACTCACTTAATCTGTCTGAAATTTGTTTAAACATTGGTGTGAATTTTCATTATGCACTAGGAAGCTGCTTCCTTCCGGTATGTACCCCTTTAGAGTTAATACGACCCTATACCTTGTTTAAAGACATCCCAGGGTGTGATGATGATATAGGGCTCTTAACATGTGCTGAAGTGATACCTATGATAGCATCTGTAATAGCTCAACCTGCCATAGGGATCCATGCAGAAAAAGTGGTACAAAAATTAGCATGTAAAGTGGTCAAAGGGTTAAATGCTACATCATCAGCCTTGGCATTAATCTACCAAGAATTACAGCAACGGAGACAAGCAGTCCTAGATAATAGAACAGTGATAAACTATTTGTTGCTTTTTCATCATCAAGGATGTGAAAAGATTAAAAATGTGTTGTTTTAATTTGACTGACAATGGCCCAGGGATTGATATGATGAAAACATAGGATGGGATTTATTCCGATGGCTAACAAATTGGTTGCCCAACCTAAAATGGTTAAAACAAATTTTCCTTGTTGCTATAGTGATGTATTTATACTTAATTTTGTCTTGCTGTTGCCTGTTTTTGTATGTAAGATTACTTCAAGTGTAAAATCAGCGGGGGATATGAGACCTGACTGAACTAAAGTGACTCTGTGTTGGTCAGCTAATGGCCCAGAGACTGTGGTTTCACTCTCCCCTTATCTTCAACAGGGAAAACTGCTTAAACCTGAAATGCTTTTAAGATCTTAGACCATCTTGTAGGCATCTGTTAGCCATCACTGTGTGGATGCTGAATACATGACAGCTGGCCACCAGTGCGAATCAGCTATTAACGTTTGCCACCTGACTGCAAGCTTTGACTGTTAGCTCCCCCTGTATCCCCTTATAAGAAGACCTCAGCCCCTGAGCTAGCGCCTCTGTGAGCTACTTGGCTCTGGGAGTGCCGTCTGGCGAGGCTAGTGAAGGTCTGTTTCATTTCCAACTTGTCTGGTGTGTTCTTTCCCACTTCATTGTCGAGGCTGTTGAGCTCCTCGGAGTAGTTGGTAAGGCTCTTCGTCTTACGACCCCTACCACCAGGCCCAATTTTAACTTTTTGCTCCATAGGAAGAGAAAATTATATCAAAATACTTAGAAGTATATCGATTTTATCGCTGTTGCCTTTTGAGTATGACCATAGAGACCTAGAGGACAAGAACTAAATTTTTTCCAAGTATGTGAGGATTTTATCGGGGCTTTAGGGACACTTTGATAGCAAACACTGACTTCTTCACTTACACTTATTTTCTGCTGTTTTTATGTTCTAGTATATTGACTGTAAATAACCACTAACAAATTAATAAAATTGATTATAGTAAAAGTTAAATAACATCTCACAGGTGCTTCCTGTGATTATATGTAAATATTGTATATATGTATTTTTATTTTTAATATGCAGTTGTTTTAGAAACATGAGAAAATAACTCTGTCCTTTATTACAAAATAGAGCTTGCGGACTGAAACTGAATCACAGCAGAGAGGGTGGATGGAGAGAGTCTGATCCTGAAAGGTATGTGAAGGGCTTTGTCTCGTGTCAGGGAGCCTTTTTTATCCTAATCAAGGGGAGTTAATTACCAATGTGGGGGGCCATAATGGTTCTGTGATGCTAGGAGCTGCATCCTAACAAGATTCCATTGGTAGCAATATGAAAGTCGGTGACAACTGGGCTGGAGAGATTGAAGAAACAGGACAGGGTACATGGAACATGGAAAAAGGGAGGAGCTAGGGATCACATCAGGTCTCTGGTTTGGCTGGCTGGGTGAACGGCGCACAGCTTTAGGGGCAAGACAGACCTTCTCTTCTGGACAAGTTAATACTGAGGTGCCAAGGGATATTCGGATGTGGTTGTCCAGTAGTCACTGGTTAGTTGGGCTTGGAGCTCGAGAGAGAGGCTGAGGTTCCATAGAGGGGTCCTCAGGTGGAGGGGTACATGGGGGAGAAGGGGTGGTAGGAGAGACCCAGGCTTGGGCCCAGAACTCGGGACACCAATTTTCAGGGTAAAATGAGATAAAGTTAACAGGGTGTCTGTACTGATACTGATAACAAAGCTAGTCTCTGGAGCGAGACAGCTTGTTGTGATTATCAGAACCTCAGGCACCTAATTTTACCTCGGTTTCATCTGTAACCTAAGCAAATAAGTGTAAAACAGGATAGGCCTCATTGCTACTTTTAGTTTCTTTAAAGGAGCTGGGGCTAAAAAGGAACCCAAGAAGGCGAGGATGATTTATAAAAGTAACTGATGATACAGCCTTCTGATTTCACCTGGTTTGGTTAAAGACACCATCTAGCCCAGGTTCCGAACCCACCCACATGTAATTGGCAGCACCGCCACCAGGTGGAGCCCGTCTACATTTCCGGGGCAGAGGTCACGACCTCGGAAGCACTTTCATCAATTTCTCCTGAGTAGCCATGGCGGCGACTGTGGTGAGAACTGTGCTGCTGCCGGTGGCGAGGCGGCGGCTGTGGGGTTTCGCGGAAAGGCACCTTCGCCCAGGCGCCTCCGGGCTGGTGAGCTCACTCCCCCACCCCCACCCTCCGCCCTCAGCACGGCGGCGGGGACCAGGGACCTGGAAGCGGGCGCGGCGGGCTGGAGGTGGAGTGCGGGGATCCTGGTCGCTGGCCCTGCCCTCCAGCGCTGGGGTCCACTGAAAACTTGCTTGCAAATTAGGAAACTTTTCTTTTTCCGGTACTGAGGGCTGAACCCGGGACCTCTGCAATGAGCTACATTCCCAACCCTTGTTTTACTTCTTGTTTTGAGACTGAGTCTCACTAGTCATTAAGTCAGACCCGCTGGGATCCAGTTTGCAGTCCCCCTGCCTCAGCCTCCCAGAGTGCTGGGATTACAGGTGTGTGCCATTGTGCTCATCTTTGGTGGAAAACTAGAGAGAAATGGTTGCCTCTATTTCTGCCTAAAACTGAGCTTCTTCCTCCCTGGGCTTCTCACAAACCTTAAGTGTAACAGCTCAAGTAAAACTTGGGATACTCATTTTTCTCACGAGACCTTCTAGCTTTCCGTAACGACAAGGGACTGTGTGTGGGTGAAAATAAAAACTTGCTGAAGATTTAGTAGTTGATAGTCTGCAAACCAGGCTGCCAAGGCTGTATTTGAAGGCTCCGCTCTTCTTCTATCCATCCTTTAAAAACACTGCTTTTCTCAAACACTGACCACTCCAGCCTTATTTCCGTGTTCGTAGAGTTTTTTCCTCTCCTTTTCTTGGCCCCTTTTCCCTGCTCGTTTTCAATATAATGAATAGGAGGCATGTCGAGATAGGTATTGAAATTAAGCCTGTTTCTCTGTGGGTAGTGGTTACAGTATAAACTTGGTTTTCCTTAAGGGAAGGCTTCGTAATTATGATGCTGGATTAGGAAAGTGGTTGGTTAAGGAAGGGGTGAAGGCCAGTCAGAGGTGGATCTCAGTGGGATCAAAATTAAGGAGGAGGTTTTTATTTATTGCAGTGCTGGGGGATTGAACCCAGAGCCCTCTACTTCAAGTGCTCTACCACTGAACTGTGCAAGAGAGAATATAGTCTGAGGTAGGTTTGATCTTCTGATTGATATTTAATACCAGAATAGTAATACGGTTTTACTTCCCCTTCCTCCTCCTACCCCAACCAGCTGTTGTATTTTGGAGGGAACAGACTGAGAAGTACCCAGGCAGCTGCACAAGTTGTTCTGAATGTTCCTGAAACACGAGTGACATGTTTGGAAAATGGACTCAGAGTGGCCTCTGAAGACTCTGGACTCTCAACGTGCACAGTAAGTGCTTTGGGCAGCCTGTGAGTGCTGCCTCTTTGGGGTCAGAGCAAACTGTTGATTCCTTTGCAGTGTTAGGGCCGGTACCCGGGGCCTGTGCATGTCAGACAAGTGCTCTTTCACAGAGCCACACCGCAGCCCCAAACTCTGGATGTCATCCTTGACCTCTTCAGTTGGCTGGTGGATGTTTTGCCTTAAGTTCATCTGAGTTGCGAACCTCTCTTCCAGTTACACTTCCGTCCCAGGGCCCTGTGTGTGCTGGGTCACTGTCTGTTTCTCACAGACCAGCATATTACTGTTTGTAGTATTGATGTAGAGGTGTGTGTTTGTGGGGCTACTCTGTGACATGTGTTTTACACATTTTCTTGCTTATTTGATTTTTAAAGTAATTCCTTTTAGTAGGCATCATCCACATTGCCTAGTTTCCTGTTCAAGGTCATGCAGCTAATACGTGACTTGAACCTGAGCCTTCTGACCGTCCCTGTTGTTCTTCTACCAGAATTACTAATTGGCCGTCGTAATGAGTTAAGCTAAGGTTCTGAATCCTCAGTGCAGCTCAAGGGAATGGTGTTACTGGCCCCTAGCAGTAGCCTGATGGGCAAAAATTTAAATTCCAATTCATAGGAATGAATCCGTTCACTCAGGTCAAGAAGACTTTGGTATTAAGCTGGAAAATGCATGTCAGAAAAAGGAAGGAATTATTTAACTTAATTGTTCTTTGGTTGCATGAAGGTTGGGCTGTGGATTGATGCTGGAAGTCGATATGAAAATGAGAAGAATAATGGAACAGCTCACTTTCTGGAGCATATGGCTTTCAAGGCAAGTTGGAAGACTTATTTTACAAAAATGAGTTCTTTTTACTAGGTAGCTTATTTTCCCCCCACACTTTTGTGGAACCTAAGGCCTCATGTCAAGCCAAATCCTCTACCACTGAGCTACATCCCCAGCACTGCATTCTCTTTAAAAGGTGGTTAAGTGCAAAATCTCAGACTTTAAAGCTGAGCACTACTTTCACAGAATGATTTTATTTTTATTTTCCAGGGCCATGTCTGAAATGATTATTGATACTTGAATTATAAAGCTGAAATAAGGATTTTCTCTTGGAATGCAAGTTATCTGAAATTACCATTTTGAAGCCCAATGTATTTATTTTTTGTTTTTGTTTTATAAATTTTATTTTATCCCATTCCCCCCTCAAACCCTCCTGTCCCTTTGTACAAAAGCTTTGTTTCCATTTTTCTATTTTGAGTTTCTTCTTGTCCCTTTCTTGCTTTTTTCCTTCTCTCCTCCCTTGTTTCCCTTCCTATTTGAATACTTTCTTCCCATTTCCCAACATCCAGCATCCATTATACATCTCAGTCCTTATTTCCACATTTAGTTTCTCACACCAGAGAGACTATTCGGTATTTATACATGTGTCCTGTTTATTTCACTTAAGAGTGGCCTAATGTGCATCCATTTAGCTATAAATGTCTGTAGTTTCTCATTCTTTATGGCTGAGTAGTACTCCATTATATTAAAAAACACATCTTTATCCAGTCACCAGTCGATGGTCAGTTGGGCTGTTTCCAAGTTTTAGCTACAAACTGTGCCACTATAAATATGGGTGCACATATATTGCTGTGGTGTGATTCTTTTAGTTCTTTTGGGAGGATACCCAGCAGAGGAATAGATGGGTCAAATGGGACCTCTAATCCTAGTTTTTTGAGGTATCTCTATACTGATATTTCTGCAGTGCCTGCACCAGAAAACACTGCCACCAACAGTGGAGAAGGGTTCCTTTTCCCCCACAAACCCACCAGCATTTGTTATTGGTTGATTTCTTGATAGCAGCCATGTGAGGAGGAATCTCAGCATAGTTTTAATTTGCATCTCTCAAATTACCAGTGATAACACATTTTCATATATTTATTTGCCATTTCTAATTCTATAGCTGAGAAGTGTCTATTCATTTCAGTTGCTTGCCCATTTTTGCATTGGGTCTTTAAATTTGAGGGGGGTCTGATTTTTTTTTTTTTTTTTAGTTCTTTATATATTCTAGATAATAGTCCTATATATGAATAGCTGGTAAAAATTTTCTCCCACATTGTGGGTTGTCTTTTCACTCTGGTTTCTCCTGCTGTGCAAAGCTTTTTAGTAAGATGAGATCGCAATTGTTTATTTGTAGTATTTCTCATGTGGTCTGGGTTTTGTTCATGTGGTCTTTGCCTACTCCTATGTCCTCAGGTGTTCTACCTATTCTCTCATATAGCAGATTCACTGTTTCTGTTTTAATATTTAGATCTTTGATCCATTTTGCTTTTAGGTTAGAGCATGGTGAAAGATAGAGGTTTAGTTTCAATCTTTGGTATGAAAGCCAGTTTTTCCAGCACTTTTTATTAAAGAGGCTATCTTTCTTCAGTGAAGATCTATGACTCCTTTGTCAAAAATAAGGTGGTTTAGTATGTCTGCATCCTCTAGTCTGTTCCACGGATCCTCAGGTCTGTTCTTTTGAAAGTACCATGCTACACAATTACTTTGTAGTACAATTTCAGGTCAGGGATTGTGATACCCCTGATTTGCCTTTTTTGCCCAGAATTGCCTTTGCTATTCTAGGTCTCTTCTGGTTTCAATTGTTGTTTTTTCTAATTCTGTGAGATATGCAGTTGGGATTTAGATTGGGATTGTATTAAATCTGTACAACAACATTGGAAGTATGGCCATTTTCACTATCTTAGTTATTCTTATCAAAGAACAAGGGATGTCTTTCCATTTTCTGATAAGGTCTTCAAGCTCCTTTTTCAGAGTACTGTAGTTTTCATTGAGGTCTTTTACTTCCTTTGTTAGATTGATTCTGAGATATTTTTTGGGGGGGGATTCTATTGTGAAAGAGATTGTTTTTCCAATTTCTCTCTGAGTCTGTTATTTGTGTACAGGAAGACTATTGACTTTTGATGGTTGACTTAACTAAATCCAGCTGTGCCACTGAATTTGGTTATCAAATCTAAAAGTCTGGGGCCTGGGATTTAGCTCAGTGGCAGTGCGCCTGCCTTGCAAGTGCAAGGTCCTGAGTTCAAGCCCCAGTACCATCAAAACAAAACAAAACAAAAAACCTAAAATCTTTTGGTGGAATTCTTGGGGTCTTCTGTGTAAGAGTATCAAGTCATCTGCAAATAATGATAATTTAATTTCTTCCTTTCCTATCCTTAATCCTTTTTTTTTCTTGTGTAATTGCTCTGGCTAATGTTTCCAGAACTATATTGAATAAAAGTGGTGATACTGGACATCTTTGTCTTCCTGATTTTAGAGTGAAAGCTTTCATTTGTTTGCCCATTTAATATGATTTTGGCTGTTGGTTTGTTGTCGATGAGAAGCCTAACGTGATTTAGAAACCAAATTGGTCCTGGCATAAAACTGACCTAGGCTTTTTGGCCTCTATTTCATTATCTGAACTGTTTGGCAAAATGAAGGGTGAAGAAAGGAATCACAATTTGTTTTCCTTTTTTTTCCCCAAGGGCACCAGAAAGAGATCCCAGTTAGACCTGGAACTTGAGATTGAAAACATGGGTGCCCATCTCAATGCCTACACCTCCCGGGAGCAGACTGTGTATTACGCCAAAGCGTTCTCCAAAGATTTGCCGAGAGGTATTGCTGTTTATACTGAGAGATGACGGAATTTTCACGAGATACAGAAATAGTTTAGTACAGTTTTTATATCTGCTATGAAAGAGTGACCCCCAGAAATGTGGAAAAATGAACCAAGTCTGGGTGAGGGGCAGCTGTTCTTATTTTTTTCTCCAAATATGACAATTGATACAAAATATCTATAGGCCTGAAAACCTGTGCAAACCAGCCCTTAACACTTGTTTTAAACCTCCTTCTTCCAGAGTCGTATATCTGTGTAGTATTCTTACTCTTTTCTTGTTTGATACAAAAACTATTGGTTTTGAGCAAAGTAAGCAAATGTTCACTTATAACATTATTGTTTATAAAGCAGTAAAATAGAGATTCTTTTGACTTTGTAGAAATAGAATAGTTCTGACGGTATAGCATAGCAATTTCTGTACAGTGTTTGAAAATCGTGCAGCAATAGTACATGAAACATGTTTGCAGTGGAAAAATTAACAGAACTTTGCATTTTAGAGCTAATTTGTGAACTTATTAATCTTAAAGGTCCTTGTATGTGACTTTATTACTTAAAAATTTGGGGTTTCTAATAGTTTTATTAATAAAGTTTTATTGGGCTGGGGATTTAGCTCACTAGTTCTGCTGCCTGCCTAGCATGCTTAAGGTCCCAAGTTTAATCCCCGGTTCCAATAAAATAAAAAAAAAAAGTTTTATTAATAAGTTTTATTAGTAAGGTGTGAAGGGCACTTTGCTTAGGTACTTGTGTATAAAATGTCCATCTGATCTGGTTCCCAAGCAGGTGTCACTACTTTGCTCTGTGGAAATCGAGGCCCAGACTGAGCGTGGCGTGGGCTGCAGTGCATTTCTTTTGACTCAGATTCATTTTCTTTGTCAAAGCAAAACAAAACAGAAAGCTCATCACCTGTACATGAATAAAAAGCCAACAAAAATGACTGCAACAATGGCGGGCATTTTGGTGTGAGTGGCAGAGACAGGCTAATAATAAGAGACTGAGGACAAGGGGCACGCGTGTTCCTTGTAGACTGCTGCTTTATTGTTTAATACAACAGCAGGAAAGGTGAGGAGGAATAGAAAAGGGAGAAGTGGAAAGGTCTCTTCCTCCTTTCTGGCTGCTGGCTGGGGAGGAAGAGCAGGGTCTCCTGGGGGAACGGAAGCAGCGTGCTCTGTAGGACTGCTGGCTTCCGGCTTTGTTGGCGATTTTTATCCCCACAGCTGGGTGAAGCTGTGTGGTAATAATTAAACGTGTAGAGTAGAGGTCTCCCTAATTTTATGGTCACTTTTAAATTGTACTTTGAGACAGGGTCTGGGGAAGTCACCAGCCCGTGTAGGCTTGGCTCACATTCGCAAACCTCTGCCTTCCAGCCTCCTCTTTATGTGATTACAGGGTGCACAGCAGTCCTGGCTGGGTCACCTGTTCTTACCAGTGAGACACCTGATCCTCCAGCTGTAATATAAGTCAACTTCTTGACCTACTCACCAAACAGCACTAAGTGTGCATTACAAAGAAATAAGGGAGATTTTAATCAAAATAGTACCGGGAATTAGGGCGTCTTCTCCTGGGACTGCTGGCCTGGACTACCATGGGAGGAGGAGCTTCCTGCCGGAATTCTGTGCTGCCCGCTGCTGCAGCCCTTCCTCCTTTACTGTCTGCTTGGACTACGGTTTCCCCATCTGGACAGATGAATTTTATTTGGTCATGCTCTGAATCTCACTTTACTCTTACCAGTCTGTTTTGTCATACTCTTGGTATTTGAACATAGTTAATTCAGAGAGAAGTCCCCATAAAGTGAAAATAAAAGGAACGAAAGTGTGTAGTTCTCCAAAAACATGACTTAAGATTATTAAGTTTATTTTACAGTTAATAAAATTTAGATTGATGGCAAGAATTGGGTTTTTCTATTTTTAGAGGTACTTTTTCTCATAAAATTCACTGCAGTTTTAGATTTTTATCATTACTGTGCTTGAGGTTGTAGCTCTAAGATACCTTGGGGGTGATTGACTGTGGTGTTTCTCTGCCTTTTTATGCACCAGCCTCATTGCTGGAAGAGCTGGGGTAGAAGGTAGCAGGGTGATGTGAACCCTCTATATACACCTACATTTTTGCTAATAGAATTTTCTACTTTGTAATCTTCACACAGAATAATATATATTATTTTTCAGATTTCTGTGGCAGTTTTGAAGTAGTAGAGTCAAATTTAGGAAGGCAAATTTAGGATTTTTTTCCCTTAAGCTTTCTGTACCCAGATGGATTTATATTTTACATGTTAAATTTTAATATTGTCCTTTTAGATACATTGATTATATGGATGAATTTTTCCAGGTTAGTCACTGAAATCGTTATCGAATGTTGGTCAGTGGAGATTTTAATATTAAAAATTAAGATTCTTGGTGTTTGTGTTTTATTTTCATTTAGCTGTAGAAATTCTTGCTGATATAGTACAAAACAGCACATTGGGAGAAGCAGAGATTGAACGTGAGCGTGGAGTGATCCTCAGAGAGATGCAGGAAGTTGAAACTAATTTACAGGAAGTTGTTTTTGATTATCTTCATGCCACAGCTTATCAAAATACAGCACTCGGAAGGACAATTTTGGGACCCACTGAAAATATTAAGTAGGTATAAAAATGTATAATATTTTCAAACTTGGAAGAAGTGTGTTGAGGTCATTCCCCCCGATAATCTGAATGGTATTGTAGTTAACAATACTTCACCTTCACAGAATTCCCAGGTGTATGGGCTCATACTGCTTCTGGAACAGGCAACTGATGGTGTTAGATCTGCCTTTTTTGACATAGGAAAATTGGAGCTCTTTGATATTTGTTGCCTGTATTCCATTTCTGACTGCTTTTAACTCTTAGAATACTGTTAAGGTCCAGTTTGATTTCAGGTATGTTACCTGGAGATCTGTGCCTTTTATTTCCTTTTAAAATTGTTTTACTCCATCAACAGGTCTATAAATCGTAAGGACTTAGTGAATTATATAACCACACATTATAAGGGGCCAAGAATAGTGCTTGCTGCTGCTGGAGGTGAGTCAGTTTCAATTTTGTAAATGTTTTAATTTTTTTGGTACCAGGGATGGAACTCAGGACCTTGTGCTTGCCAGACAGGCTCTGTGTTGCTGAGCTAAATCTCCAATCCCTCTTTTAAGTGTTTTATACAACTGTTGGAGTAGTATTTTCTTCAGCTTCATCCTGTTGATGAACAGCTTGATCCTGTTGTTATCTTAATAGCTTTTATTTCAGAACAAATTGTTCAAAGTATTTTATGTTAGAGGAATGTGGAGTGCAGGAACCAGTTTCCCTGTCTTCTTAGGTTTCATTTATAGAGAAACTAGATGAGCAACTCGTATTTTAAGTGTGCATACAGGGTGGGATTCACTTACGGGACAGGGCAGATGAGTGACCCAGAAGATGGTCCCACTTGGAAAGCAGTGTCCTACAGTTGAAATCTCTTGATGTTTGAAGTTATTTCTGGAGAGGCAACTTCACCCTTGGTCAGACAAGGAATGGGTTGTTCATCGCCATCTTCAAAGTCACTTGCTCAGAGTATCTGCTAACTGCTATGTGTGGGGAGCACAGGGAAACCCTGAGAATGTACACCATGCATCCAAACCCGCTGGTGACATCGCACTTGCTGGGACCATCTGCAGAGTCAGTAGATGGGCAAGTTTACTTCATTCTTTGGCAGACTGAATTTAGGCAAACACTACATTTTAATTGGTTTCCAGTTTTCTTCCTATCTTTTAATATTAGAGCACAATGAAGATGGTGTGCAAGTGCTCTTTTCTCTTACTAGAAATTACAGTGAATTGCTGGTTGCTCTGGGTAGACTTCTGAGCTAATGACCTGGGGGTAGTGGAGGAGGTGAAAATGAAGGTGAAATATCTTGCATGTGGTACTCACGTGTGGCTCCCAGCAAACCCTTATGTGCTGAGACAGCTGGTGCCAAGAGGCCTTCAGCATTTGAAACTGCCTTGGTTAGATGCCACCTCAGCAGCCAAGTCAACTGGGCCTGCTCAGCCGTTACTGCGGCACGTGGACGCTGAATGCCATTTGATTTTGGCAGAAGTTAGTACAGCGTAGGGTTCACAGTACACCTAGGTTCATTAGCATTTTTATCTTAATGGTACATAAATGTTGATGTGCCTTACAAATGATGGCATCATAGACCAGTGAAATTGACCAGTTTAAGCCTCAACTGACACCTCATTCATTGTTGTGGCTACCAGTTAGCTCATAATCTTCTGTTTGTGCAGCTTTGAATTGCTAAATAAATTTCTCTGTGGCTTCCTTTAGAAAAACTAGTTTCCCTGCCTTGTAGATTGCAGTAAGTAGAGGTGGTGCTGGAGGGCAGCGAAGTATGTGGCCTGTCCAACCAGGGTGAGTAGGTGAGGTAGTAACAAAACAGAAGGGGTGTTCATTGCTGCTGCAAGTGCCTGAGGATTCTCAGTGCGACTGCTGTCCTTATACCCTATACTGTAATGTGTTGTCACCCTCTGGATTGGTACCCAAGGTGACCCCTTTACAGTGATTTCCAAAACATCATACTGCCTATTACTGTCTGGTTTTACACTAATTATTTTGAAGTACAGATGTAAGTGGTGTTTTTATATTCTAATGGAGTATTCTGAAGAAATGTTATGTTTTTTGAAGCACTCACATGTTCATATTTACAAATTTGTGATAAGCAACTTTCACTGAGGTAGGCATGGTGGTACACACTTACAATCCCAGCACTCGGGAATGGGCATGTGTTTGAGACCTGCATGGGCTAGTGAGTTCAAGGCCAGCCTTAATTATATACCCAGCCTGTCTCAGCCCACCCTCCCCAAAGACTGAATCATTTGGGTCCCCAAGTTTGTTGTTTGTTTTTTGAGACAGGGTCTGTGTAGTTGAGACTAACCTGGAACACACTATGTCGCCCAGGCTGGTCTCAAACTCAGCAATCCTCCTGCCTCAGCCTCCCCAGTGCTGGGATTACAGGCGTGTGCCACACCCAGGTTGGGACCCCAAGTTTGGATAGTAAAGGATGTAGAATCTAAGCTTATGTTATGGATGCTGAAGTAGTGAGCATATGGATAGCAATGGATATTTTGAGAAATCTTGTTCTCAAGTTTTGATGGCAGAATTCCAAGATTGAAGCTTATTTGTGTATCTAGCTTTGAGATAGGACTCTCATTTGTATTCTTTCCTACTTTTAACACATAAAACACCAAATTGATCTCTTGCTAGGTTGCATTCTAAAACTTAATATAACAATTTTTTATACAAAGTGGTATTTTCTTATCTTCAGCTGAGTACACTTAAGTTGATGAAAACAAGCTGTGCAACTTCAAGCCTTATTAATACCAAGCAAGTGTGTTGTGGGCCATTTCTTCTGAAGTGGCAGTTCCCGTGCAAGATACATCACACTGTACCCTCCGGAATCTATTGTTAGGCTGTGTCTAGCAGTCAGTGGTCTGACTTGGACTGTGCTTCTGTTAATGTGGATGAACATATTTTCCTTCATTTAGGTGTTTCCCACGATGAACTGCTTGAGTTAGCGAAGTTTCATTTTGGTGACTCTCTGTGTGCACACAAAGGAGAAATACCAGCTCTGCCTCTCTGCCCGTTCACAGGAAGTGAGGTAGGGCCAGTCCCTTACTTAGAATTTAGCCTTTGGGGTGTCTTGCGTTACATTTGCAAACAAATGTACAAAATGTGCATTTTCTAGGAGTAAGATGGAGGAAGTCTATGCTGAAACACAGATAAAGGGAAGAAGACAGGCTACTTTGCTTCCATTCTTTCCTACTGCGTGTTATTTAACTTTTCCTTTCCTAAGGGAGGAAAGTTTTAAGAGCAATTAAGTCATAATTTGGTCCTTCTGTACTTATTCTTTGGCATCATGCCTATTACATATGTTAAGATTTTTTTTTTAAAAAAGCCTTACATCAGAAAGACCTATCGCTTCTTGGCCTTTTGGCCAAGATCAAGTATAGAAAGACCTAAAATCTTTTTCCTTGAGTTTACTCTAAGTTCTGCCCATGACACATTTGCCGGGTAGTAGCTAAGAGCCAGAATTTGCAGGGAATCTGCTAAAGGTGGTAACCTTTAGCTTTGAGTCTCACTAGGAACTTGGTTTGCCACATTAGGATATTGCTCAAAATAGTATCTGGAAGGAGGTTTGTTGGTGGTGGTTGCATAGGTAGCACAGAAGGAAACCTGTAATGTATTAGTTTAAATTTTGATAGAAAAATAAAGATTGAGAAATACAAGATAAGTTTCTACCAGGTAAACCTGGTAGTACTTCAGTAGAGATCTTTTGGGGAAAGTAGTTACTGTAGGCTGGCATGGTAGTGCATGGGTGTAACCCCAGCACTGCGAGGCTGAGGCAGAATTGTAAATTTGAGTCCAGCCTGGCTAACTTTGTGACTTGGTAAGACTTTCTCAAAATAATGAAAAAGGGCTTTGAGCATAGCACAGTTGAAAGCCCTAGGTTCTCTCAGCAGTACTGCCCCCTCCCCACATTAATTTAGGAGATTCTTCTAAACTGTACGGTATAATGAGTCCTGATAGTTAAAAAGAGTAATAATGGTGAACATTTCAACTTGGCAATTAGTAGGACTAGTGAGTTTCTCTCTTGTTATGCATATAGCAGTAATCTACATCCTAACTAGGTGTTTTGCTATTCCTCTAGATTCGTGTGCGGGATGACAAGATGCCCTTGGCACACCTGGCAATAGCTGTTGAAGCTGTGGGCTGGGTGCATCCAGATACAATCTGCCTCATGGTTGCAAACACGCTGATCGGCAACTGGGATCGTTCTTTCGGAGGAGGAATGGTAAATGACTAATTTCTCATAACGAAGGGAATACACTGTTTGTAAGAACTCTTTCCCTCTATGAAATGGCAAAATACTGCTTTGTACTGTGACTTTAAAATATAAACTGACCTAGGTTGCATTTGGGCTAAAGTATGTTTTTCTCTGTCACAGAGATTTAGTAGGATAGTTGGCAAAATACGGGGAGAATTACAGTCACTGTTACAATAATAGTAATAGTAGTTACTAATACAATAGTTACTGCAATAACTGTTAAGTTACTACTAACATTACCATATCACTAGTTTTAATCATATGAAGTTGCTATAAGAAAATGAATTTGTTTTTCATTTTCATTAGTACACACTAAAGAATTTAGGGACAAAAAAGCGTATTTGCAGCTTACTCTCAAACTGTTGAAAAAACGTAAAGAAGAACAAACGCACACATGTAAAATATAACAAATTTGAATAAAGGGATTTTGCATTATTTTTACAATTCTATAAGTCTGAAATTCAAAATAGTATAATTTCTCTGAAATTTTCTCTAAAATACATTCCATATACTTTAAGGTTCACATGCGATATAATTTAAAATCCTTAAGACATATAACCAAGAGGCCTATAAATGGGTTAATGGCAGTGTATTGCTTTATAATAGGCGTAGTTATTGTATCAGTTATAAGGACTGGGTGCTTCTAAGTGTAATTCTTGGCCTCACTGAATTTTATTACTGTTGCTGGATAAAACTAGGAAACTTCAGGCATTCCTTTGCTATTACATCATTTCTTCCTGATACTGTGGACGTAGATACCTACACTTGTTTTGGACTGTTTCCTTACAGAATTTATCCAGCAAGCTGGCCCAGCTCACTTGTCAGGGCAATCTCTGCCACAGCTTCCAGTCCTTCAACACCTCCTACACAGATACAGGATTGTGGGGACTCTACATGGTTTGTGAACCAGCCACGGTTGCAAACATGATACATGCTGTTCAGAAAGAATGGTGAGAAAATAACTTTGAATAGTTTAAATCTTGACTAACATTTGTGTTCTAAGCCAGTTTTCTTTTTACACTTTGTGATGGTAATTTTATCTTTTAAAGCAGTAGCTGTGATTGCCATGTTTTTAAAGATAGATATTTGTTAGAAGAAAAGCATGAAGCTGGTTTTATAAATTCGCAATCCTTCAAAAGAAGATTACTCTATAGATCCTAAAACCTTCAAAGTCAAAGAGAAGTTGTTTGGAAAATATCTCAAAGTAATCTGGCTTGGAAAGGCAGGGTATGAAAGTCAATCTGAAAGTACCACTGGTAAAAGATAAAGTTTTAATTAAAAAACTGCCTCTGCCTACTGACTCAAATACGAGCCTGACTCATAGCTTCTTAGAACTTTTACTCAGATCTGTTTCCTCCAATATTCTTTAGTGGCTTCCAATTCTGGTCAACTAGGACGTGATCATTATTACGTTTAAGTTAAACTCAACAGATTCTCTTAAAACAGTGAATGCCCCACTGACCAAATCCTCTAGCATATCGGACCGTAGTAATAGATGCGGGGGGGATTTGTGACGGCTCAAGACAATTTTAGTAGCATTTCTCAAAATGTGACTGGCTTCTTCTAGTGCATTAAAAATGTGATGGTTGAAAAACAATTAGACATTTATATACATAATTTCTGAGAATTATTAGTAATTTCAACATTTTGTTTTAAGGCACCAGAGATCGAACTCAGGACACCTTGCAACTTGTGAGGCAGGCATGGTGCCACTGAGATAAATCCCCAGCCCTCAACTTTTTATTAAGTTGAAATAACTACAGTCAGTTCTTGTATTTTTCTCTAGGTCATTAAATTATAAAATTACCTAACATTTTTTCCAATTCTTTCATAATACTAGTTTCCATATATATTTTAGGATGCGACTCTGCACAAGTGTAACTGATAGTGAGGTTGCACGAGCCAAAAATCTTCTGAAAACAAACATGTTATTACAGCTTGACGGTAAGAATGACTTAGGGGCTCTTGGGCTAGGGTTGTAGTTCAGTGGTAGGGTCCAATATCTAGCACAGCAACAAAACCAAAAACAAAACCAAACTTGAGTCTTGGCTTTAAATGGTTGATATAGTCAGTACTCAGTTTTTCCTTCTCTTTAAACAGGTTCTACACCAATTTGTGAAGATATTGGTAGGCAGATGTTATGCTACAATAGAAGAATTCCCATCCCTGAGCTTGAAGCAAGAATTGATGTAAGTAGTGTTTAGGTCCATTTGGGTCTTGTGTGAAAAGATCCATGTCACAAAGGCTGAAAACATGCACCCTAAATCTTGATTCAGTTTTTAAAGTCCCAAGTATAGAATCTGTCTTTACTACAAAAAGTTTAAAATGATGGTACCTTCCCTGTTTCAGGCTGTGAATGCCAAGACACTTCGAGAAGTCTGCATCAAATATATCTATGGCAAAAGTCCAGCTATTGCTGCTGTTGGTAAGTCTGGCTCCTTCGGTCTGTGCAGAAAGGTAGCCGTGTACTTTCATTCAGTTTTAACTACCTTCTTTTTAATCCACAGGTCCTATTGAGCAGCTACCAGATTTTAACCAGATTTGCAGTAACATGTGCTGGCTTCGTGGTTAAACACTCATAATCAGAATATCTTGAAAGCATATTTATAAAACTGCCTAGTGTAAACTATCAATCCCTAAAGAGAAAAACAAGTGTGAATGTGTTTGGAAATCTTTCCAAATGAAGTGTCAGGGTAAGATTAGCACCTTGATGACTTTAGTATAACATCAGTCTTGGTGCTCTGAGAAGTTATACTGGAAGCAGCACACATTAAAATTATTATCATAAATATAATTTTGGAAATAAAAAATTTAGTGTTTTCAGTTTTATTAAAAAATGCACACACAAAGATTGTCATTACGTCACTTCCTGGCTCTACTTGCATTCAGCACTTGCTCTTGAGCAGCCTTCTTTGCTTTTACCATCTCAACAAGTTCCTAGGAGAGAGAACAGTGTAATTTCAGAAGCCGTCAGTTTTAAAGGCTGTATCCAATATAAAATTTACAAAGTTTCTAAGGTTGGTCATTTCTTTGTAATGTCTTTGGCCCTGGCACCATTGTGGCAGTAAAATAAGCATGATGATACCTATTATTATCCAAATAACAGACAAAGTGCCAACTCTATCATCACAAGTTGTACTGGGAATGACTTTATAAACTAAAAATCTTCCACCTTATATCGTTTCATGCAGTCCTTCTTTGTCCTGCCAGGAACTGCTTCTGCAATTTTTTCCCACCTCTCAGGTGTGTTTACTGGGTATGTTTTCAGAGCTTGTTCCAAAAGCTTCTGTTCTTCTGTTGTCCAAGGGGTGAAATCTGTGCACGGACCTGTTAAAACACAGTATTAGAGAAACTACCTGCCTCATTACTGGTCTCTTAAAACCTAGTATATACTCACCAGAACTTTTAAAACCTAGTATATACTCACCAGAACTTTTTTACTAATTAATTTGCTGGAAAGGCCCCTGGAAAATACTCTGATTTTACACTGGAGGAAACAACCCTATCAAATCAAGCCAAGCACCCAAGGATTCGGTACTATTCAACCAAGCATTTCTTAAAATCTTGTGGAGGCAATGCTGAACACCACCTGTTAATGCAGTTCCTCACTTTGGCGTGTGTCTAGACATCCCCCCAAGCCTCATGTGGTCATAGGCAGGGCTTTTCAAAGGTGGCTGGATCTGGAGTATGTGGTGCTGGGATCAAAGGTGTGATGACTACATCAGTCCACTGACGGGTTTGGCACAGTTCTGGCTAGGATTAAGGGTGTGAGTGCTACACTTGCCCTAGGGCAGGTAGCTTGTATAAAATACAAGGGACAGAAAGTGGGCGAATGGGCTCTCACCTGCCTGCCAGCCATGGACTGTTTCTCCTCTCTGATGACTCCCTGCTACACCACCCTGCCTTGGAGCCAGCTGATTATGGACTGAAATGTCTACGAACTGTGCGCCAAATAAACCTTTTCTCCTCCTTTCGAGTCGGGTATTTTGTCTCAGCAACAAGAAAAGTAAGACACTCAACTGAACCTTTATAGTTGACAAATATGTAACATGTCAAAAACAAATACACTTTACTTAAGGATGTCCAGTATTAACCCACTTCTCCAGTGAAATGAGAATGTTAAAGGCAGTAGCACCTATACGCTAGCAACAATCTGTCTACTACTTGAAATTATATTCTGTGAAATTGGGCATTAGAGGGTAAAAATCAGTTATTTCTCTATTTTAGAAAAGGAAACATATTCAAAACAACTCATGCAGCAGATTAAAAGCTTTTACAAGGGTAGATTTTTAAATCCTAAGAAGTTCTTAGTTGAATTTCCTTTTATTTCAGGGTATCCTTGATTCTATAGGTTTAGTGATATGAAATTATTTTCTCTACTTACTTCAGAAATGGAAAATAAAACCATGTTCCAAAATTCCTGTAAGTCACAACTGAAGAGAGGTGGTAGGACCCATGCCTGTCTGCACAGGTTCTTGGTTTAAGCCCAGCACCTCCCAAAAGAAATAAAGGATGTGGGGGAGGGTGTTGCTTTTTAATGGGGTGAATGAAAAGAGGAGCCATTGCAGTTTACCCATCAAAGAGTAAAGAAGTCAGATACAGGTAGCATCACTGCCAATCACTTAAGAAAGAGATCTGAATGCTGTATGAGCTCTTGTGAACAAGGTGAAGAGGTGGGAGAATAAACCCCTCCTGAAGAGCCTTCTAGGTGTTCTGAAACCTGTGCTTTGTTACTTCATTAAAAGCCAAAATCCAAATGGATTAAACATCTAAATATTAAAACAGAACCATTAAACTTGCTGAAGGTAAGTTGGGCAGAACTCTAGAAGACATTGGCATAGGAAAAGACTTTATGAACAAATCCTCAGTAGCATGGGAACTAGCAGATAGAATCAACAACTGGGGTCTCATCTTATTAAAAAGCTTCTGTACTTCAAAAGAAACCAACAGCAGAACTAAGACACTCTACATACAATGTGGGAAAAAATTTTTACCAGCTGTTCCTCAGACAAAGGACTACTACCAAGAATATATAAAGAACTCAAAACAATCAGCCCCCTGACAAATATAAAGACCCGATTTGAAAATGGGCATCTGAAATGAACACACATTTTTCAGAGAAAGTAAAAGCAGCAAGTAAATATATGAAAAAATGTTCCACATCACTGGTCATTCAAGAGATGCAGATGAAAACAACACTGAGATTCCACCTCACCCCACAAAGAATGGCTGCTATCAAGAAATCACACATTAACAAATGTTGGCGGGGTTGTGGGGAGAAAGGAACCCTTCTCCATTGTTGGTGGGAGTGCAGACTGGTGCAACCATTATGGAAATCAATATGGAGATACCTCAAAGAGCTTGGACTGGAGGTTCCATTTGACCCAGCCATCCCTCTGCTGGGTATCTTTCTAAAAGAACTAAAAGAATCATATCACAGAGAAGTATGCACACCCATGTTTATAGCAGCACAGTTTTTAATAGCTAAAACTTGGAAACAGCCCATTTGCCCATCCGTTGGAAACTGGATAAAGAAGATGTGGTTTTTCTATAAAATGGAATATTACTCAGCCATAAAGAAAGAGAAAATAGATGCATTCATAGGAAAATAGATACATATTGAAGATATACTCCTAAGTGAAATAAGTAAAGTCACACGTGTAAATACCGAATAGTTTCTCTGGTGTGAATAATCTGCAATAATACATAAGATCCTAATAAAATTACTGACATTGTGAAATGGAAAGAAAGGAGCTAAAGGTATAGGGAAGGTGGGATGGGTAGGGGAAGGGTAATAAGGGAAAAGAAAAAAATGTGAGATAATGAAAAGATGGAAATAAAGTGTTTGTAGATGGAGAGGGGAGGAGGGGGTGAAGGGAGGGCAGGGACAAGGGGAAAAAATGAGAACCAAGACTTGTCATGTAGAGGTACAAGATCCCAACAATGAATGTAACTGTGCTGTATCCCTAAAATGTGCCAATAAACTCAATTAAAGCTGAAAAAAAAATTTTAAAAAATTAAAAAAATAATAAAAGCCAAAATCATGCCTATCTCACATAAGACATCCCAGATTTTTACAAGCACAGCATGATTTCCTCCCCATCTACAAAACAAGTCTATATTTTCAAGCTAGAGATAATAAACCAGACTAAGAATATAGGTAAAACAGACTATTAGAACGGTGCAGTTTAACATGTCAAGTCTACTAATCCAAAACTGTGTTTGGAATTACAATCTGGAAAACATATCCAAGATTAGTTTAAGGAAGTAAAGGTGTCTCAAAAATGTATTAAGTGAGACCACAAAGCAAACTCTTGTAAATGCCTGTCAGTTTTAAAAACTTTGTATCCCATGAGCAAAATTTCACAGGGAAAATATCTGTTGCAGATGCACTGCTGGCTAATGTTTTCTTTTCACAAACTACAAAGACAATTTCCTGACCCAGTGAGGGTCATGATTTGTCAGAAAAACAGGTCTGGAGTAATCACATTAGTTAGAACATCAACATGACAGCACTTTATAATAGTTTCTTTTTATCTTGAAATACTTCTGAAGAGTAGAAAGAAGCCCTGTATACTCTGCCTGGATTCCCTAATGCGAAAGTTGTACCATATTTGTTTCTTCTTTCTAATCGGAGGAAGGAACATCAGTGGTTCATAGAAGTAAACTTCTGACTAATGCTTGCTCTCTTATATCTTCTAGTTTTCTACTTTATATTCCAGTCATTCTGAACATAGATCCTAGTAGGTCTGATATATCTTCAGCAGCCTGGAATCACGGTGAGCATTGTCTACTTTTAGAAAAACAAAACTTACCTTCAAATCGTTCTGATGGTGTTGCATTATCTGCCTGAGGTACCACTCCATGTTCTTTTCTAAATTTATCAAAAGCCTTTCTGTTTATGTCATCTTTTTGATGAGGGTCTGAGAAACAAAAAAGTTTAATAATTAACAGATCACCTCATTTAGTCCTTCATTAAATGCATAAATTATTTGAAAAATATACATCCAAAGTAACGAATTGATTTCTCAGAACTCACCAAGCTTCTGGAGACTCTTTGCTTTGCCAATAACATCTTTGGCTGTTCTTTTGACACCAGAAGAAGAATGTATGTTCATGTAGTTAGCAATGACTTCCCATCTAGAGTGACAATGTGAGTTTAATAATAGTAAGGGAACAACAAACAGTACATTTTCACTGCAAAAGGGTTGTAAAATCTATAAAAGGAGCTCTAAATTAGTCTAATTGTGCTATTAGACTTCACTACTATTGCCTGGATAATAGTTCATGTTCAAATAACTACAATGTTGGTTTTAATTTCTATAAAACCTTACCAACACTGTAGAACTCAACAGAAATTAAACTGGACACTTGTGTATACCACCCACCCCATACATTCATCTTGAGAGGAGAGGCCATGTGGAAAATGCCTTCGCTTCTCCTCTACAGAAGAGGAAGGCTGAGTCTCTAGGGCTTGAGTTTTAACTCTGAACACTAAAGGAAGCAGAGGCGTGAGGTGGGAATCGAAACACCTTATGATGGTGGAAGGGATACTACAGGACACAAAACCTAGTCCCTACACATGTCGGGATAAGCCAAGTAACAGTCAAGATTTCTCTCCTGTTCAGTTTCCTAAAGCACTGGTAAGCAGCTTGCTGCATGTGTATGTTGGTGTAATGGGTAAGAGGAGAGGTTCAAAATGCACTGTGCTTTTCACATTTCCACTAAAGCCCTGAATTCAGTGGCAGGCAGCCTTTCTAGATCAAGTTTCTTGGATAACCAGTGCTGCTATTTGGAGTTCTGCCTCCAGGCTGTGTTGAAAAGTGTTCAAGAAAACCAGTACCTTGAATTTGTTCCAGCAGGGAAGAGGTTCACAGCTTTAATTAGTAACTGCAGATCATCTTCTGACCAGTTTTTACTGCTACTCCCACCTCCGCCAGTGGACTTCTCTGCATTCTTAGATGCTTGTCGCATGCGTGCTTCAGCTTCCTCTTTCTCTTTTCTAATTTGCTCGTTTATTTCTTCTATCTACACAAATAGCACAGGTAAGTCAGGACCACAGCCTCCTGCCACTCTTCACTCCCTGTGCCGAGGCTCTGTGGTTCTCAGCTCCCTGTGAAGCCCCTCTGACCCTCTGTTCCTCCCAGGTCATCCCAACCAGATAGCAGGTCTGCAGGAGGGAGCAGGAGCCCTGCCCCGCCCAGCCTGTCCAGGCTTCAAGAGGTTTCTGTAGTCAGCAGGGACAGGGTCAATGGGTTTTCATACACAAGGCCCATTTGAGCCTCTTTAAACCCACATTCACTCTTGGCAAATAATCTCATTTATCCTCTGCAAAAAGATAAAGGTGCAGGAAGGAGGCCTCTGTTTTTGTTTTGTTTTGTTTTTTTAATTTCTTGGTACCGGAGATCAAACTCAGGTCCTTGCGCTTGCTGAGGCAGGCACCAGAACCACTGAGCTAAATCCCCAGCCAGGGAGGCCTCTGTTTTAAGTTCTACCCTTTATCTTGTTCCTTTTGGTCTACTTTCAAGTATGCACAAAGGAAACCTTGATGCTTCTGTCAGCTGGTAACTTGGACTCACTTCTCTTCAATCCCTGACAGCCAGCCATTTAAGTCCCTATAATTCTAACTTGGAAGTTTCAGCCAGGTATGGTGGCTCACACATGTAATCTCAGCTCTTGGGAGGCTGAGGCAGAGGGACTGACATGTAGCCTGGGCTAGCCTGAACTACACTGACACCCTATCTCCAAAAGTTTTTCCTGATTCTAAACTTTCATAGTCCAGATCCTTAAAATGGGATTATTGTGAGTACTTCCTTTAGCTGTCCGATGCATGCTGCTCACCAATGCCCGATAACCAGCAGTGTTGAACCTTCTGGTATGCCAAGTAATGGGAAGTAATGGTATGCCATGATGGTACTAAAAACCTGCTTAATTTGGACCTACTCTTCCTAACCAATTTCTTTTTCCATTCCTTCTCTCCATAACTTTGTATCCCTACTGATATTTTATAGTTCATGTGGTTCCTTGACCTGCACTTTAACACTGTCTTTCTAGAAAGCCAGTTCAGCCTTGTCATTGAGGTTCTGTGGCCACTAGATGTGGATGTGGCCCTCCTGGAGCATGTACTACAGTAGGTGCTCCATCTTTTGGTCCTCAGCCTTTCTGCTAGCATAACTTTTGCTGAACTTTGTGGCAGCAACATTAGGCACTTCTCCAAAACCACCCAGAAGAGTGCTATTTGTATTACTTACTAATATTACTAATACTATTCAACTGAATTCGTTATCTAGGCGTGATCCCTTGCCTGGGCAATAAAAGGATTCAACCAAAGATCTATTTGGTTTTGAATGTCATCTGATAAAAACACTTAGAATAATTAAAACAACTACTTTGGAAAACATGATTAATATGCTAGATACCACAAATCAAACACTGTACATGGTAAAACAAAACACCACCACACTAAATCCATTTTTTTAAAAAAAAATTTAATACAAACAAAACATAGTGGAAAACAGAGAAATGAGAAGCTCTCAGCCCTTAATAAAACTATGTATGAGGAGATGAAGAAATAGTGTAACGGTTTAGATCTAAAATGTCCCCCGCAAGTCTGTGTGCAGAGGTGGGGCTCTGGACCTTGGGGCAATAGGAATCAGTGAATGTGTCCACTGACAAGTGCAGGAGCTGGACCCCTGGGATCATGACCGGAGGGTGTGTTACTGTTCCCGCTTCGCTCAGCTTCCTGGCTGCCAAGGGTTAAGCACTCTTTCCTATCATGCCCTTCTGCCAGAAGGAACCACACACTGCAAGCAGGAGCCAAAATACCCCCCACTTCTAAGTTCTATGCTCAGGTGTTTTGTCCCAGTGATGAGGAAAGTGACAAAGACAAACAGTGAGGGAAAACAATGCTGTTTCTTCTGTTACCTGTTTTTCCAGCGTAGCCTTTCCTACTTCTTTTGTAGATGATGTGAGTGTTTCATTCAAGCACTGTAAACTAAACAAAGACAGTCATGAGGGCTGGGGTGTGTGTAGCTCTGTGGCCTAGCACATCAGGCATGAAGCCCTAGGTCTGATTCTCCCAACCTCCGGAAAAAAGATGGAACTTTACGCTGAGCCCCAGAGGAGACCTGATATACCTTGCTAGTTCAAGCCGATCACAGAGTTTCTCCACTTCTTCCATCATTTTAACCCGTTCCGCCTCACTGTCCGAGAAGTGATTCCAGGTCTAGAAGCACAAAGCGAATATCCCCACCTTATATCTACCGATACCAGCAATACCTTCAAACACATCACCAGTGTTCATCCTTGAGGCTCTGGCCCAGTGGTGCATGCTGTGTCTGTCATCTGCAGTCTTGTCCTGGGCTCACCCTGAGCAGCTGCAATGGATGTGTGCGGAGGGAACACCACAGTCCCCTCCTGTTACCCATCTTTAAGTGTCTCAACTGCTTATTTACTTGTCACTTCCATCATTAACCAGTGGATTTTGTTTTTTTGATTTTTTAAGACCAGGTCTCACTACACAGTCCAGGCCGGCCTTGAACTCTTTCTGTAGCCTAGACTGGCCCTGAACTTGAGGAGATCCTCCTGCCTCAGTCTGCTGAGTGCTAGGATTACAGATGCACTGCCACACCTGGCTTAATCACTGGATTTTTTTGAGGGCAAAGGATCGTGTCATTATCACATCCATGTTAATTACAAATGCTTGGTACATAGTGAGTATCCTTTTTTTTTTTTTTGGTACTGGGGATTGAACTTAGGACCTTGTTCTTACGAGGCAGGCAGCAGCATCACTGAGCTAAATCCCTGGGGCCCAAGTATCACATATTTGACGAGTGAATTAAATCATGCTCCAAAGGAACAAAACCCCAGTTATCAAATGACAGAATTTTTACCCTCATTAATACAGCATCCCTAAGAACTAGTCAAGCTTTCTAGCTCCTGACTTTTAAAGGTTTTCATGAAGTTCTCAGTATACCCTGAGGGTGTGTGCCAGATCCTGAGAGTTCACCTCAACATTTCTGCCTAGGGATCACTTCAGTCATAAAATGGTGAGGAAAGAGGCAGCCAGGTGCTGAGGTCACCTGCCAGGGGGCCCACGGGCCAGTAAGTGATAGAAGGACTTCAAACTCAGGCAGCTATCCTGAGCCCATACTCACTCTGACATATTGCATCCTTCTGAGAATGGGCTTCTCTACCCAGGTGAAATCTGTTGTCATTTTTTTTCCATTGAGGTATTTCTTCTTGCTTACACCAAAATGCCTAAAGAGACAGTACTTTCCCCCCCAGAACTAGGGATTAATAAACCCAGGGCCTTCACACTGAGCTACATCCCCAGGTCTTTTTTTTTTCCTAAGACAGGGTCTTGCTAAATTGCCTAGACTAGCCTTCAAGTTTCGATCCTCCAGTCTTACCTTCCCAAACATCTGGGATTAAAGGTATGTGCCAGCATACCTGGCTCAATTACATCAATTATTTTTTTCTTTAAAGTAAACCTCTTTCAAAGCATTATGTGCGTTTATTTCAAGTGTTACTGAAACTTTAGGATGGCATATGTTAGATCAGACACACTCATGTCTAGAGCCTTCTGGACAGTCATGTGAAAAACAAGATGTTTTAAAATATATATTAAGCATTTACATTACTTTCTGAATTTTAGTACAGGGGTATAGCAATATTCTTTTGCAGCAATCTTTACTATAGACTGGATTATGTGAATTTATTCATTCATTCTGTTAATAAGGACCACTCTTGCCCTTTGACTTTACCAGTTTAAAACATGACAAAATCTCTTAGAATTACATTTAAAACTTTGGGGTTTTTTGGTCCTTTTAGTGAAAGTGTATTTGAATGAAAATCACCCATATTCACCCAAATGATGTCTCTCTTAGTTCAGATAAAATTTAACTTCTAAAGTAACTTTTCCAAAGATAAAAATGAGGTTTATACCATTAGGAAGTAACCAACTCAAACTAAACTACGGCACACTCTCAGAAATGTGATCTGGTCTTTCCAACAGATGCCAACAAGGAAGGGAAAGCAGTAATGGATGAAGCCTTGTTACAGCATCAGAAGATCTTAAAAAACGTCAAAGCCATTCCCAAAGGCTCTGTGTTGAACTTCCTTGGGCCTTAACTTGTTTAAAGTAACTATTGAAAGACACTGTAGATATAAAAAAGAGAGGCCTAAATATGGAACAGGTATCAGAATATTAACTTTTTGCTTTGATAGTGACACAATGATTATTAAAAAACCATCAGGGTGCACACACGAAATGTAGAAAAATTTAATTTAAAAACAAATTTACATTTCAAAATAAAATACATACGCTCAATTATATTTGCATAGTATAAAAACAGACATTTTCCAGCTGAATAAGTAACCTGATTTACTTTGTGCTTAGTGTTTGCTTAATGAGCCTCACGTACCTTGCATGAGTTCCGGAGTTTTTGTCTTTCCTTTTTAATGGCCTTTTTCTGGATGTCTTTTTCTTTCTTTGCCAATAATGCTTGCTGTCTAACTTCTTCTTCTTCTTTCTCCTTAGCCAATCGAGCAGCTTCTAATTCAGCTTGTCTTTGCTTTTAAAAGGGGGAACAAGTCATTTTAATAAGAAAATTGGAATTTATAAATGTCTACAATCTTATTTGAAAAATAAATCTTTTAATCAGAAAAAAAGTCACAGGTCAACTTATTGAAGATTGAAGGCTGAATTGGAAAAGGCAGCTGATGAAGTTCTACAAGCATTTAAAATATCAGAAAATGTAAAACAATCATGGAAATAAGCACCAAAGTAAAAGAATTTATGTCTTCCTATTTTTGCTCAATAATTTGCTGCTAAGGAACATCTAGCAACTGTACCAACTGGTCAAGACTCACAAAAGCAATGAACTCTGCTTCCAAAGTATAGATTTAAAAAATCAGGTCTAAAGATTAAAGAACATGTAAAGCCCAACTTCATATATTACTTTTTCTTTAGCTTCTTGCTCCTTCCGTTTTGCTTCTGCTTTTGCTTTCTTTTCTGCTTCTTTCTTGGCTTTTTCTTCTTCCTTAAATTTTTTTATCCTTGGATCACAGCTATAAGCATTGTCTACCAAAACAAATACATTAATCTTTTGAATTTCTAACATTTGAAAAACTTTTAAAAATTTATTGCAGAAAATTAATTGTAAAAGCGTTAATTATACTTACCAACTAATGTTCTTATTCGGTTCATTTCTTCCTTTTTCCTTTGTGCCCTTGTTGCTCTGTTCTGCTTTTCAATCCATCTTCTCTCATCACGACTATAAAATAGAGAATATTGGAAACAGATCAACTTATAAGTTGGTATGACTGAAAATGTTACTATTTTATAAATTACATGCAGATAAGGTCAGAGAAGTGAAAATGCTACGCCACATTAACATTAAAGGGTGCTTCTATTTATTATTCTGGCTAGCTGTTCATAAGAATTTCCCTACACACTCAGAAAAAACTAAAATAAAACCAAGATTACTCATCCAAGAGAAGAATTTGCTGAGCTGAGCTATTATGATGATTATATTCCCTGTAAATTCTAAAGCATAATGAGTCAGTTACTGATTTGGTGTCAGCTAGCTTAACTTGTGAGAAAAGATTTCAAGATACTGCATCAAAATACTTAACTAAATAGAGGAAATATAAAAGTATGTATGTGACGTTTTTATATGATCAGAAATACCAGTGAACCAAATAAATGTTTCTTTATTAATGATTTGCATACATACCATTCTGCTTTTTCTTTTTCTTCTTCATCTAAATAAGAAAATTCTCTCCAAGAATCAAAATTATACCTAATACAGACAGAAATAAAGTCAAGGCAGAACAAATGAAAAGCAATTCCTTTTAAAATTAAGTTAGAGACAATTCTCAACTACAGTAGTGACAAGGAGATGAATCTGTCTGGACAGGTCTGGTCCCTTCCTACACCTTTGGGCTACCACTGTGCTCAGGTCCTCACTGCTGTCTTTTTTTTTTTTTTTTGGTTTTTTGAGACAGGGTCTCACTGTGTAGTTGAGACTGACCTGGAACTCATTATGTAGCCCAGGGTGGTCTCGAACTCACAGAGATCCTCTTGCCTCAGCCTCCCGAGTGCTGGGATTACAGGCCTGTGCTACCACACCCAGCTTCACTGCTGTCTTCTTTTGTAAAAAGACAGTGACTGTATTTGGTATAAAACCGTAAAGCACCCGCATCACCCTCCCTGCTGGCCTTTCTTTCTTAGACTTCTCTCTTGCCAGGAACTTGCTGAAGTTATCTCTGTCTTCACTTTCACTGGTCTGTCAAGCTGCAAGGTAATTCTAGTAATGGTTACTTATGGTTACTTTGTTCTGGTCTGTATTGTTTGAAACTAAGAGCAATTGCAACTGACAGAACTTAATTCTTCTCCTATAATAATTTTATGCTTCCCCAGCTACAAAAGGCACTGTCTTACTCAATTATTTTTAATTTTCACAGAATTCAAATGATTGCTCAATTTTCTTTTAAAAATTGCTAATGTGCTTGGTATCCAATCTCATAAATAGAAAAGATTGAAAAAAAAAGCCATAAAAGTCTTAATAATACACCAAAGACAAACAGTATTATGTGAAAACCATCACTCATTTCTGAACAGAGTACTTTTGTTCACTAAAGGTTCTGAAATTTATTCATCCTTCAATTAATTTATGAACAACCAAGTACTTGTTGACTACTTACCCCTTTAAATAATGACAGCAGCACAAAATATTCACTTACCAAAAAGAATAAAATGCATCTACATCTTCAAATGATGAATTTGTATCACCAAGTTTAGGGACATTTTTTTTATTTGACCACCTGAAATATTAAAAAGGAAAATCTGACTAAATTTTACATAGAAGTTTTTAGTAATCCCTTCCAACCTTCATACCCTATAATATCTGTAACTGAAAGATGAAGAGGGAAGGTGAGGAGTGCTGTTAAACAATGCAAGGGCGAGAGGGCTGCGGGTAACAAGACATCATAACAGTCTTCAACCGCCAGGTTATCTTTAGTTCCATGAAGCATAACGACACAGCAGCTGCTAAGGCAGGCAGGACAAATGGCAGGTAGCTTCTTCCCAGGGCCACTACTCCTGCCGCAGCCTGCAGGCCTTGCCTGTTCAATAGTGCTCCTGACAGAGCCAGCAGGTCCCCACCCCACATCACCACCCCCTTTCTGCTCAGAGCCAGACCCCAGCCTTTGCACCTCATCCATGACCTCCGGAGAGGACCCTCAAGCTGCTACCAACCCATGTTTTCTGCCCTATGAAATCACTACAAGCATGCACAACATACTGCGTCTTTATAACGTCTTCCACACGGCTGTAAACAAACTCAAAGGGAAAGGGCAGAGGAAATACTGAGCTGCACCAACATGCTAGTCAGAGGGGTCTGCAAATCCAGCAATACAGGAGAATCACCTGGCAGCATTAAAAAACCCACAGGTATTCAGACTAACAAGTGAGAATCTGCAGGGAGACTCAGGCATGCATGTTTCCAGCTCTCCAGGGATCGCCATGTGCCACAAGACACACCCTCAGGGACACGGCCAGCAGATGGAACTGAAAAGCAGACTGTAACAGCCATACTGGATGCACTATTTTCAAACACACTTTAACAAAACAAGATACATATGCTTTAATCTCAACTATGAATCATTCTGTCAGAGAAGTCTTGTAATAATTATATGTTCAAAAAATAAAAATCAAAAGCTTTTCTTAGTTATAATGAGCCAAATTGTATACCTACTGATAAAATTAGCACATAAAAGGGAATGTACTGTCACCCAATGATTGGTATCACACTATATAAAGCCATACATTATTTTTTCCCAAAGGAAATTTAAAAGAAAAACATTCCATAAATTGTAAAGGAATTTCACTAAGGCAGGACTTCTGTTTGGGGTGCAAAACAGGAACAGTGAGCTCACTAGAAGTGCTGAATGTCACAGAGAAGAGGAGGTAGAGTCTCAGGCTGCCAGAGGAAAACAGCAGGAGTCTAGAAGACTACACAAAGCAAGCCAACTGGGTATGATGACCAACAGGGACTTTAACTCACCTGGAATTCCTTTCAAACACCGGGGAAAACACTTCAAAGAAATTGTCCTTTGCTTCACTTTTAGATGGAACTGAATTATCAAAAGTAGGATCTACACTGTTAAATGCTCGTCTTTTCACTGGATCAGATAACATTTCATAAGCTGAGAACAAAAAGATTACACCCAGTAAGTTTACCTATTTTCTTCAATGAGAAGTTAATTTTGTGAGTTTTTGGTGTGGGGAATATTAAATTTAGGTAACGACAGCTCTAGCACTACTGGATATAACTGGGCTTAACAACTTCTTCTATTAGCAAGTGATGAAACAATTTTTAAAAAATAATTACTGAAGAAAGCAGATGATACCGAGGAAGAAACTTCCAGACAAATGGTGATCCCAAGGTTCTAAAAGGTGAGCTCTTTGAGCACTGTGTTAAGGGCTGGACAGGCAAGTCTGAAAAATTTGTATAGATGTTAATTGTTTAAAAAGCAGTGTTAAGGCCGGGGATTTACTTAGTTCAGTGGACCACACTTGCCAGGCAAGCACAAGATCCTGAGTTCGATCTCCAATACCAGAAAAAAACGAAACAGCGGTAAAGTGCTGGGAATGTGGCTAGGTGCTAGACTGCCTGCCTGCCTGCCTAGCAAATGTTAATTCTATTGCCACAACCACCACAAAATTAAAAAAAAAAAAAAAAAAAACATCAAAATGTAAAATCACATTTAAGAAATGTTTAGATATGGTAGTCACTTATATTAATTTGCTTAACGAAGATATGACTATATAAGTAGCAGCTGACAGCTGTGGGGTGTGCTCAACAATGCCATTTTTTACAGTGGTGCTAGAGACTGCACTCAGGGGCTGCTAACATGCTAGGCAAGAGCTCTATTATTGAGCTGCACTTCTCTCCCCAATCAATTTAAAAGAGCAAAACATCTGGGAAACAGGTTAGTTCTAAAAAGAAAATCGATTGCTAAATATAATACTCCTACGAATTAAGTGTAAAATAAGCTTCCGGTAAGAATCACCTGGACAGTGTGGCAAATCTACGGGGCATGTGCCACGGTGGTAGGTAGTGACACGTAGGCTGTTTATGTCACTGAAAGTAGTGACAGGTAGGCTGTTTATGTCACTGAAAGCTCTAAAAGGCTCGCCAGGCATTGTACTTGGGCTTTTGTTAAAATGCAGATGCTAACCAGTGGGTCTGAAGCAAGACTGGAGATTCTAACAAACTGCCAAGGTTGCCATTTCAATCCTAGCAGGCAGAGCCTCACTTTGTACAGTGAGACTATGGGGAATTAGTACAAATAACCTACATGACTGTTCAACATCATGGGACACATTTGCTGCTACATGAGAAACCTAAAATATAAATAAATGAATAGAAGAAGGGAGGGATGACAAGAAACCAGAAAGCATACTTTTAGAGATGGGGCAGGGGACTAAGGGAAGATAGGAGAAGATGAAGAGGAAGGTAAAAGGATTAAAAATGATCCAGTTAAGTTACATGTATGGAGAAAATGAACAGATGGAAATAAAGTGTTTGTAAATGGGGAGGGGAGGAGAGGGTGAAGGGAGGGCAGGGACAAGGGGAAAAAATGAGAACCAAGACCTGTCATGTAGAGGTACAAGATCCCAATAATGAATGTAACTGTACTGTATCCCTAAAATGTACCAATAAATTCAATTATTTAATTTTTAAAAAGTTACATGTATGTACCAATTTCCCTATGTGAACCTCACTCACTATTCTGTATTACTAACAGGCTAATAATAATAAATGTCACGGATGGTTACATGAAGCATATCACACACTGGAAACTCAACCCTAATAATCAAAACATAAAAATCACTGTAGTATTAGAAATTCCTGACTGGAAAGTACTTCTTACCTTTAGTTATGCAGGTGAAATAATCATTGTCCCCTTCTTTTATTGGTTCACCAGCTGCTTTCCGTTTGTCTGGGTGATGTTTTAAAACCATTGCTTTATCTACAAAATGAGTCTGATTGGTCACTTTAGGCACAAAACTAGAACTAAGCATGAGCTAAATACAGGCTATCTCTAAAATCATAAAGCTAATTTTAAAATTCTTCTCCCACAGTAAAATATGTGCTTATTAAATATGAAAACTACAGAGCAACTGAAGTCATTATCTTATTAGCTGAAGTGCCAGCGCCCAAAGACAAATACCCATGTGCTTTAATAATTTAGGTGTGCTGGCGACATAGCTCAGGGTTAGAATGCTTGCCTGGAGGGCCTGAGGTCCAAGTTTCCATCCTCAGCAGATGCACACGCTACACACACACACACACACACACACACACACACACACACACACACACACACACACAACACACACACACACACACACACACGTTCTGCTTTTTTAACCTATCATCTGTCATTTTTCTTTTTATCTTGCAAATTTCAAAACTTTCTTTTCAATGACTTAATACCATGTTTCAAGTAAATTTATTCTAATTTTAGTATTTCTCTTTGCTTTCAAGTTTTTACAGTTATAAATAAAATCAATTTGAATAATTTTGGACAGAATTCCCCCTGTATTTATGACTCTTTCTTAGGATAAATTTACAGAAATCAGTGTATAAAAATGTAGGAATAATTTCTACCCTACAAGTTACACCCCTTCATTCCCTTATGGGAACTTGCCACTCACCACAGGTTCACTAGCACTGAGTCTAACTCTTTAGATTTGTGATCACTGGTACTCAGCCATGTTTTGTTTCATTCATCCTTTATCTGCTGAGGAGAGTAGGAGGGCTGTCTTGGTTTGTGTCACTTTACAATATAATAATGGCTCCTCATTAGTACTCAGTGAGCATTCATTATCACTTCCGCGGGCCTATTATCCCAATAACCCTATGAGGAAACCGAGGGACACAGAAGCTAAGCAAGCACAAGTCCTGCAACCTGCTCGAAGTACCAGCCCAGGCAGGCTCCAAGCCAGTCTGACTCTTCAGCCTGTTTGCTTCTTGCCTCTCCTTAGCTGCAGTTTCCTGTTGCTCATGCTTAACCTAAGTACCATGTCTATACTCAGTGCTCACTTCCTTCAGTTTCTGTCAGTACTTAAAATACTTGTAATTTTGCTTCTATTTTCCATAGCTAAAAACCATTTTAATCCTTTTCATAACTTAAATGTAGTCAAGAAAGTACTTAAATATCATTTTTCAAAATCTTAGTATGAAAGCCCTTTCCACACTGCACTGATGTGTGATGTCTCCTTTTCACAGTAAATTATGCAAGGACTTTTGATTACTTATTCTGACCAAGAATTATCTTTAAAATGACTATACGTTTCTCTATATTTGACTATAACTTTCAAAACCTAGTATCTGTACATTTTTCTTGCATATAACCACTTCTGGTTCTCACATTACCTATAAATAATATATTTCTTTCTATCTTCCTAATAACTCACTGACTCTCAATTCCAAAGTAGCTTTAAAAATCATGGCAGGTTGTCAGGTGTGGTGGTGCATACCTCTAATCCCAGCACATGGGAGGCCGAGGCACTTGGGAAGCTAGCCTGGGCTACAGCTCAAGGCCAGTCTGAACTACATAGTGAGACACTGTCTCAAAAACCAAAAATTAAAAAATAAAAGGGGCAGGTTAATTTCCCCCGTGGATTTTAACAGAAATAGCATTTTTGCTATACAGCTAAAACTTTGCTGCTTGAGGGCCTTAAATATCAAAGGGAATTTCTTTTCAAGATTCTAATAAAAAAGGAATGAATACAACAGATTAGCTATATTAATATATTTCCCAGGTTGTATTACTGAAACTCTACCTGTTCCCCCAACACCAACCTTTTAATGAACTATTAAACTCAATTCGTATTTTATTGAGATATTTTTCACTGCATTCATGAATCAAAGAGTGTGCGCTTTCTGAGACAGGATCTTGCTGGCCTTGAACTCACTGTATAGCTTAGGCTAGCCTTGAACTCACAGCAGTCTTCCTGTCTCAGCCTCCCAAGTCCTGGGGTTACAGGCATCTGTCACCACACCCAGCATGAATCATATTTAGTTGTAATTTTTTGAGTTCTTTGTTAAGTTTTCATATTTGGATTTTATTAACTTCACAAAGTAAGTTGTTCCAAAGCAGTTTATGTTTGCAGGTATTTACAATTCATTTAATAACTGAAATAATTCATCAGAAAATATACCTGGGCCTAAAAAATGGTTTTTAATGATTCTTTAGTAATTAAAATTTTCCTTTTCAATTTTTAAAAAAAATCAGTTTTACTGAAACGTTTAAATTCACTGCATATAATAGGAGTCTCAATAAAAACTATCTTTTGCTATTATTCTGGCACAGCCCTGCCACTCAGTAGGCTGGCTCATGAGGGTCAAACATTCAAGGCCAGCATGGGCCACCTGGCAAGACCCTGTCTGAAAATGAAATAAACATTTTTAAAAGGCCCTAGGGATGTATCTCAGCACTGAAGTGCTTGTCTCGCATATTCAAGGCCCTGGGTTCAATCCCCAATACCTATGGGGAAAGAGTATCTTCTGAAATGGTATTTATCTTGTCTATGTATATTTCATCATTTTTTTTTTTTATTCTTACTTTTTGGTATTTAAAAAAATCTATTTCCTTCCTCCATCTTCCTTTAAGTTTTGTTTATGTGTGCGCGTGTGGTGCAGGGGATTGAATCCTGGGCCTTCACACTGAGCTGTGTGAACTTTTCAACTTTTTAAACTTGCAATCCTGCTGCTTCAGCCTCCCAGTGCTGATGACAAATGTGAACCACTATGCCCAACCCCTTTACATTCTGATAGACAATGATCCTACTTTTATAAAATGATTCATTTTTACCTAGGCCTAGAAGGGTGTATCTAATACCTCAAGTGATTCTTTTGTTTATTTAATCACATGTATTTTCATTTAACTGAGATAAAACTTCTAAGGATAAAATGCTTAAATTTTAAGTACTCAGTTCAACAAACTGACAATTAAATACACCCATACAACTACTGGAACATCCAAATGACAATTTTGGCCACAGTTCCTTCATACTCTCTTCCCATCCCCTACCACTGAGGCAACCACTTTCTTATTTACCACAAACCACTTCTGAACTCTATCAGGTAAAACCTATAGAGTGTCTTCCTGTGGGGCTTCTTTCAACATCGTGTTCTGAGAATCATCTACATTCCTAGGTAGACTGGCAATTCGTTCTTCTTTATTGTTAAGATTCCACTGAACCAAAAACAGCAGTTTTGTGTATCCACTTTCCTGTCAGTAAACATCTGAGCGGCTTCCCAATGATGGACATTTTGAGCAAGGCTGCTATGACCACTTTGTGTAAATCTTTTATACTACACGGAGACATTTCTACAGATCCTGCAAAGGTTCAGCACTGTGACAAGTAGGTCTGTTTTCCTCAAGTCGAGGATTTTACTTCTGTTAGGTCCAGGAGCCACTGCCCTGCTAACACTGGAAAAGACAAATTTTTGAATTCTAGCAGGGTGAAGCAGGAAGCGGCTCATGAAACGTTATCGGAGAGAGCTCACAGAATCTTTGAGAACCAACTGTCAGGCCTAGAACCTCAAGAATCAGATTATGCCCGGCAGCTCAGAAGCATGCTGTAGCACAGACCAACCCTGCAGATGCTGGGCCGCTGCCCAGAAGCTGCGAATGCTCTGTGTTTGTTGTCAAGGTGCTTTCTTAGCACTCCCAAGAGTGTGCTCACTAGTGGACCCTAAGCCACTTGCCTATGCGTACTCCCCATCGCTAGACAAAGAATTTTAAAAAATCAGGTTAGTTTCTTCTTTATTTGACACTGTTTCTGTTGCACTGATTCTGATTTCTTGCGGGGAAATGTAGCATCTCCTTTTTTTCTTCCATCAGAATCATGGGAACATATCTCATGGTCAGTTGGCCTCTTGCTCTTTTCTAGCCAAGTGCTCTTGTCTTGTCTTTTCTTTTTTTGGTATTGGGAATCGAACTCGGGTCCTTGCACTTGCAAGACAAGCGGCCGAACCACTAAGGTAACTCCCCAGCCCTCTCCTGTGTTTTCTAACTGTACATCAGCCTGTACGATTTTAAAGTCTGCTCTCATGTTTAGTTTTCATACAATTTCTGCTTATTTCTTCTACTTATGCTTATCTCTTCCTACTAGTGTCTTCATATCTAATTTGAAAGCAAGTTAGTTGCCATTTGAACCTAAAGACAAAGCCTGAGAGAGGCACATCCCAACTGAGAGGAGGCTCAACCTGTAGTCTCCTCTAGGGTGCACTATTTTTCCTATACTGATTTGTCTGCCTAAGCATCTTCTGTCACTTTATGTATATTAGCGGGGGGGTTACACTATCCTACTTACACACTGCTCCTAGAGTCAGGGGAACACGTTACTCAATTTTTTAAAAAAGGGTAAAGAGGGCCGGGGATTTAGCTAAAAGGTGCTGCCACCTGCCTCCCAAGAGCAAGGTCCCAAGCTTGATCCCTCCCAAACACACACACACACACACACACACACACACACAA